GAAAACTGCAAGCATTGTCAAAGAATCGATATGCATAAGAAAAACACTGGTCCGGCTGTGAGAAGAACAGGTCTTATCGTCGATGATAGATGGGCTACCAAACAAATGAGGACATCGGGCAAATTCTACATCTTAAGGAAAATTATGAATGTAGGCCAGCATGGACGGTAGTGTCGAACAAGAGCTTGATTTTCAAGGCGTTGTGGGCTCACTGGAACCCTCTGGCCATAGAAAATGGTTTACCTAAAAGAATTAGGGAAAGTGCCGATGGGAAATCCATTAAGAGCCAACTGGTTATTCCAAAAGATCGAGTAGAAGATGTATTAAGAAATACATGACGACAAAATTCGGGAACGCTTTTATTGGGTTCACTATTATGAAGATGTTAAAAACTGGTGCCGAAAATGCGACACCTGTGCTACCAGTAAAGGCCCTAAACTAAGATCTCGGAGGCCCATGGAACAATACAACGTTGGTCTCCCATTTGAACGAATAGCGATAGATGTTACCGGACCGTTCTCCGAGTCAGAGCGTAGTAACAAATACATCCTTGTTATTATGGATAACTTCAGTAAATGTCCAGAAGTTTTCGCTATTCCCAATCAAGAAGCCATCACTGTTGCCCAGGTGCTAGTAGTGGACGAAGTTTTTAGTCGTCATGGTGTGCCACTAGAGTTATATTCAGATCAGAGACGAAATTTCGAATCTGCCATCTTTAGGAAGATTTGTGAGATCATGGGCATACATAAGACAAGGACAACACCTTTACATCCACAGTCTGATGGCATGGTAGAACGATTTAATGAGACCATAGAGTGACAAAAGTGGTCGCAAAAAACCAGCGAGATTGGGACAAACAGTTGCCTCTATTTTTAATGGCTTACCGAGCAGCTGTTCACGAGTCAACAGGTGGAAGTCCAGCTAGAATCGTTTTCGGAAGGGAACTCAGTTTACCTTGCGATCTGATGTTTGGAATACCTGAAGAAGAACAAAAAGAAACTCGAGAATCTGACGAAGTAAGGGCACGACTTCTGGGGACACATGATTTTGCTCGGGAGCATATTCAGCTGGCTAGTAACTGAATGAAGACCAGATACCTACGACTTGAAAGCCAATTCAGCCGGATTTCAAAAAGGTGATTTGGTGTGGCTGTATAATCCAACAAGAAAGAAAGGAGTGTCGTCGAAATTGTCTTCAGCATGGGAAAGACTCTACAGAATAATCACGAGGATTAATGATTTGGTTTAAGGAGTCTAGCGCAACACCAGGAGTAGGATGAAAGTTGTACATTTGGACAGATTGACGAAATATCTTGGGCGCCAAGTTGATCGGGACGATCAACCCTAAGAGGTGGGCTGTGTCACAGAAAGTGGCGGTTCCGCCACGGTGTACAGAATTGGACAACTGATTGTAGATTTTATGTTGCTCTTCGGGAAAACGGTCTATCGTGTTTATTTTAGATTTTGCAAGAATATATGACGGATATATAAGGGCCGGTATTAATAAATAGTTTTTAAATTTAAGATTGACTGTGATATGATTTAGATAGTGATTATTGTTGAAAGTTGTAAAGAGTTTAGTTGTTTGAGTTAATTAATTTCAGAGTGTATAGTAACGTGGAATAAATTATTATTGTGTTAATTGGACTTTGATTTTGGAATAAACGAACCCAAGATTTCTGTTACGCACCCCAGAGCCGTGACAATATGTTACACAAGCTTTAAATTAAATTTTGAAATAAATGGCTCAGTAACAAATGACAAAGCTAAAACAGAAAAGAAACCAAATAAATATAAGTTTAAAAAACAAAAATCCAAGCAAAATCCCCTTGAAACTTAGAGCTTATCAACATTTTCAGCTCTATGTTCTCAAAAAATATATATATTTATATATTAGTTGAAAATTTCATATAGGTAGGTAGGTATTTATATTTATATATTAATATTGCGTTGTTGTGTCAAATAAATTGTTTTAATTTATTAGACAATCGATTTATTCCAGGCGTGTGTGAGTGTAAAGCTATTTGATTAAAATTTAATTCGTATATCAAGCGCATGCATAAGGCGAAAATCTGAAATGGTCGCTCGTTGCAGTTGAGTGGAGAAAACTTATGGGGTGGAACCGTTTCGTACCATTTACCCATTTTCAAATCGGAAATAAATCGGCTGTTAAGTGATTTTAAAAAGTGCACTTTTGCATGCGAGAATAAAATTATTAATAAATTAAGTGATTTGTCTTGAATGTTCTTTGATTCCACTATTCAATGTCTCCACTCGGTATGAAATATATTCCGTGAAATTACATTTCGCATTTCATGGCCAATGACTTTGGATATTACAATGAATTACTGATAATAACTAAAAGATGGATACAAGAGTTTATATGGTATGGATAAATTCACTAAGAATATGTAGATAATCCAGGCCACATAGAGACCATTATCAAATTAATGACATCAGAAAAATATTGCTCTTCTTCTGAAGGCCAATCTCAGAGATAATCAAGCAAAAAGATGACAATGAGACGGGATTTTTGAGAAGTTTAATGGATTGGACTCGACTCAGAAACAAATATTCCACAAGAAATCAAAGAACCAATTATTAGATCTTTTTCACTACTTAAAGCATTATCCAAAAGTTGCCTACTTACTAAACAATAAATTACTGTAACTTGTAGTTGAAGCATCTTAATTTTTTGCTTTTTCACTAACCCAATATTGTTGTGTATATCTTTGCCAAGTTTTGGATTTACATTTTTCAACCCTATTCTTCACACATTCAAGTTATTCATATTCTTTCAGTTTTTCCTTACAAATAATATGACTTTCCATAAGCTCCAGCATAATAATTTTATGTCAAATTGCAGTATTTTTCATAATATCGCAACATTCTGTCTACTGCACTGACTTTGTAGCACGTTGTTTGATACGTCTCGATCAATTTTCTTTGCAATATGTGTATTTTAATTTTCTTATTAAATTTAATGGCTCGTCATTAAAGTACGGTTTGAGTGCTCTGTAAATATACAATTAAGTACATGCTCCTACAAAGTCTTTTATATCACAAATACTTGTGATGGTTTTCAAGGTGAAAATCTGCTTATAAAATGTTTGTATGGTAGCTTTAAATTGAAAATGACAAAGTAAATCTGGACGAAAATGAAGATAGGCACCATAAAATTTCTTACATCACCACATTATGTGATGGTGCTTTCTCGTCGCGAGTTATACTGGTTTGGGACTTTTACTGTTACCTACACCCAACTGTGCCACTTTTGTTCAAAAAGAAATTAACCAGAGGCAATGGTGGGTAATTGATTTCAAGACGGTATCTGCAAAATTTTACTGCAGTTTTATTGCTGCACATCATTGCCTAAAGCTTAAACAATTAATCCTCTCACTTTGGATTTTTCATTGCTATAATGTCGATAAAAAAACCATTCCAAGATTGAAATTATCTCAGATAAACAAATCAAAAACCAAAACCAAATCAATTTATCACGAATAATATTCTTGTATTTTGACATCCATGCAAAACAAAAAAGATCGTATAAGGTACAAATTACCATATAAATCGGGGCGTGACAGAAAGCTAATTATTCTCGGACTAATTTCTGATTAGCAGCGTAATTTATTGTTTTGCATTTGATATTTGACAATAATTTTTATTTTTTTTCAAATAATACAAAATGGATATCTCTAATAAATAATGCATTAAACATGCAAATAATACCACTTTGATCTTTTGATTTATGTACCTACTTATTTAGCAATGTTTTTGTCCCAGACCTGAATTATTACTTCCTGAACTATTACTGAGATAATAGACAGTTACTATTTTTAGTTTTACCTTTAACAGAATTTGTCCTAATTTTACGGTAAGCTTCTGCGAAGAAACTAGTCGATGTACTTACTAAAAAAGGATTTATTTTCGCCAAAGAGATGCTCGATAAAGGATCTAGTTGGCTAATTATGTTTTCTTTGTTTGGACTTGGAACTTAGATTTATAGCAAAAGATGCGTAGTTAGAAATACTGAAATCTACGCAAAAAATACAAAATAGAGCATCAAATAATTGAAAAATGTTGATTATAAACGTTTACTGTTGAAAAAATAAATTCAAAATCATAAAAATACTGTTATGTAGTTTTCTTAAGGCAAAGGCAAAGTTTGCTTAGGTATTCAATATTTGAAAAACGAATGTATCAAAGCTAATGTTTTAGATTTATAACTATGTAGGTACGTCTTGAATATAAAGATTTTGTTCAAATGCTTTAGCAATTAAATATTATTGTCACGCCCTAGGATTGTAGAGATGAATAGGGGTTGTAAATAAGATGGAAGAAAATCTTTGGTATACTCTTCATCATACAACAATGGTGAAATAGAACTTTCAATATGAAGGGTATGTTTAGAAGTCTGAAAGAAACCATACCTACGTCTCAAAATAATTAGGTTGTCTGGCTGAAAACTTTCAATTAAATGTAATGTGGAATCACTCGGAAACAATCTAAGATTTATTTTTAAAATCCGTGAATAATATTTTTTTTATAGATTGGAAAACTAACAAGAAAAGAGAATGTTGTCAAAACTTATCAAAGCATATACGAGCGGCAATATATGATTTGAAAAATTAATAATACTTACAAATAAGCTTCAATTTAGCGATTCTAGAGCACATTTTTTCAATATATCAAGCAACAATCTCGTGAAGACCGATTCTTGTTAAGGTATTATCAAGAAAAATCAATTTATCAAAAAATATATATGGACAGAAAAGAAAAATCTAAAACTTTTTAAATTTGTTTCTAGTTAAAGGCAGCCGCTTGTCAATTAGATTTGAATTATCGACAACACCAACTTTTTATGCAAGGCGTGAAAAATCTACTTTTCTCTATTCGGATAAGGCTCGTTACTTCATAGCTTTTACCTTATACGAATGCCATCATTATAGCAATAAAAATTCTTGTGACGGTTAGTTTTGAGTTAGTAAAATTCCTTACCTCCAGCTCTCAGCGTAGCGATGGGCTGATGTTTGCTTCCATGATTCATTCCATATTTGATCGGCTTGAAATGAAAAAATGACGGTGAATATCCTGAGCCAGCTCGACTTAGAGAGCTGAACCTTTCTTCTCTATCTTCAATATAAACTCCCTCTTTTCCCATTGCGGCTAATTGTCTCCCTTTAGGCATAAACATAATTAAGAAAACCATTATAGACATAATAACGAGTCCGAAAGCTATACAAGCGTCTCGATGTCTCTCGTTCACAATTAAACCACTCACAGTCCATATTAACCACGTCGGTATGCTACAGCCTACGGACAGTCCAATGTAGGTAGCTTCGCGGTAATTGTCTCTAATTCCGCGAGATTTAACTGCTAAAACCGTTACGAATATTATAAGAAAAATTACGTAAATTAAAGATAAAAGCATGTCCGTGTAAGGGGTACGACACAGCGGTACCACTTGTGTGGTGGTTATGTCAGCAGCAGTAACTAATAATCTATTTCTATGTTGATGTACTATATGCTCTACAGTAACGGCGTCTACTAACGGAGGGTTAGTTAACAACCACTGCACTCCTATGGCCACTTGAATTAATATAGCAAAAAGCAACAAAAGTCCTTGATATGGGGCAGGTAAATAAACACCCCCGTTGAGGCTAATCAGAAAAACACATTTAACTAATAGAGAAGCAAAAACTATGGCGTAAGATACTCCAGTGCCAAAGCGCATCAAGGCACACGTAAACTGAGTAGGAGAAGCTGCAAAAACTGAAGCTAGGCCTGCCGAAGAAAAAAGTCCTAACAACAGCATTTGTCCAAGGAAAAGATGTCTTCTACTAGGAGTAGTCCTCCATGCTTTACATAATACAAAAATCTCAAAACCAGCTATAAGGATCATCGTTATAGCTGATAGAGCCAATACTGGAAGCACCCAAACTTCGTTTCTAAAAACACCTCCGATGATAGTTTCAGCTTCAACAGAATTCACTCTCTTTGTAACGTGGACTTGAGGAGCTGTTGAAGTTGGTGCATTAGTGCTTGATGGCACTAGGAAAAATTCGGTGCTCATTTCCAAACGTCTTCTTAACGCCATCGATTCTTCTGACGGTACTATGGATAAGTCATCTAAAGGCATTGGATTGGCATTGCCTTGAAAGGGAAGCTTAAACCTTAAATTTAATAATCGGTCCAAAATATTATTCGAGGAATTTTTATTGAGATCACTGTTTTTGTCACTTTTATCATCAATTACAACTTCATCCCTTTGATTGTCATCGAGTACTGTTTCACCCCCAAAAAAATCCACCCCCAAAGATTCACTATTTTTATAAGCATTATTAATTCTAAAAATGTCTGTGTAAAGATTCACCCCCGCGTTAGGGGGTGGTCCTCGATCAAGATCGCCCGAACGTGCTTGTCGATCCTCGGCAGTCAGAGAAAGTACCACGCATGTCGCGATCAACGCGACTCGGATGACGGCTCGAGCCATACTGCTTAGAAGCTGTGGGCCCGAAGAGATATCGCAGGGTACCCGGTTTGATGGTACCTACTCCTGAATATTTTTGGCGGGCCTTTTTTTGTCCGCGCGAAGACCGGCTTTTCGGCGAATTTTGTAGACTACAAGGTTTCTGTTTTCGTATTGACGAATCTAAAATTTAATTAAAAAAATTAATGGGGGGATTCAAGACGTTTCAATTCGATTATTATTTTGAACAATTCAGCGTTTTGATGAGAAATTTAATTTTATAAGGAACGTTGAGCAAAATTTCGAAGTCAAGCCTTTGGAGTCTTTGACGTCGGAGCTGGTATACTTACACAAAAAAAAATTGAAGTTTATTGCTATTGGATAAGTTGCGGGTTTGGTTATAGAAAAACACTTCTTATCCTGTAAAAATTTGCTTCATCTGAAAGTCACTCTCACTCCTGCTTCACACTACTTATTATTATTACAGCGAATTTTCAGCCTGGAATTAGTTACTAAACAATATTGGACATAGATGTTAATATGAAGTGTCACATAAGATTGAAATACTTGAGAAGGGTACTTCAGATCACAATCCATTAAAACTTAAGCTCCGAACAAAGAATACGAGAAAAAAAAAACAGCTAAAAGCTACTGAATAGTTGGAACAACTTTAGAAGTAAAGACAGTCATGCACAAAATTAGAACTTGCTGTCGTGGCGATACATTGCAAGATGATCAGTTATTAAACCAAGGGGGCGATCAGATGGCCAACTGGCATAACTACGTTTATTTCACGCGTTGTATCCGGATACCAAGTGGATTGGATTAATAATGGGGATTAATAATCCTGAAATAAACACCCAGGATTAGAGAGATTATCCGGATCGGAGTTCTTAGTCCAATCCTCCAAATTTGATGGATTGGACTTGAAATAAATTATCTCAAATGTGAAATAAACACCTCAAATCTTGGATTTAAGAAGTTTGTTCCTAACTTCAAGCAAAAATGACCTAAACCTAATAAAAACCTAAAAAGTGTATCAGCTGATTGCCTTGAATGAACTTAGACACAAACCAATTTGAGCTTGCGCTTTTAAAAAGTCTTTAGAAAGGATTAGCAGTAATCTTAATCCATTTATTGGTTTTGAAATAAACGAATATGGATTAATAATCCTTAATCCAGTATTCGGATACAACACGTGAAATAAACGTGTGTGACTACACAGATGATGATGCTGAAACCCTCACACTTAAATTACCAAGAGAATGCCAGCTCAATCACCATCCAGACGAAGACTACATCAATTATTATATCTAAGTAGAGCGAACAGCAAGAAGACTACGTTATTAGAACACAAAGGCATTAGAATCTTGAAAGACTGAATGTCTAGAAAGCTACTGGCTCTTTAATCCAATTAATGATTAAGCAATATCTATAACTTCTTCTCTAGATTGGATCATTTCCAAAGCAGGAGAGAATCGAAGGCTCCTATAGAACTATCATTTCATCAGCTTTCTGCTCTTTCTAGGCAAAGTATCAGAAAAAGCCAACAGCTAAAAATGATATCATAAAATTGGTTAAAATTGCTTGCACAAAACAAAATAATAATGAAAATTGTTAATTGGAATGAAATTTCATAAGACAGATGATTAGTATTTTGTCTAAGCCGCTGTGGTTCTCACACAATAAAAATTAGATTGCTAAACTTAAACAAAGGAATAGAGAAAATTGCAGAACAGAAATTATAATACGATAATTCTTGTTTTTCCTTAGCTTGTAGTTTTATAACAAGATTAAATAAGTATAATATTCAATTTCCTCTCCAATTATCCTAATTTGATTTTAATTTACTTGCAAAAGCTCATCTAGTTTTTCTTGCACTAGCATTGCAATTACAGTGCAAATAATATCTACCATAGATCCCGTTAGGATATCCTTATTGAGAGTCATGATATACATATTTATACACACCATACAAAACTTGTTAAACTATGCATTAAATTGAGAGTTTATTAACTGAAACAACTGTTTTAGTATTTATTGCTGCCGTATGGCTGATGCCAGATGTGCTGTGTCTTCTAGCTTATAAATCTTTTACAAATAATTTTTAATTTTTAATTTTTTTCTAACTTTATCCAGTTTTTTATTTGTTGTATGAGTAGGTTTACAGTGAAGTGTTTACAAGGTGTCAAAAAATGTGTTTTTGACTATGATTTTTATGAATGGTTAAACTTTTATTAAAGCATAAAGATTTTAGAACACATCCTATTCCAAGTTCTACTTATTTCCAGAAATGGTTTGCTTGAGATGTCGTTATCTATTCCTTCTATTCGACTTTGTTGATATTCCTTCTGAATAAATATAAATATCATCGAGTGGTTTACAACTGTTATCGTTTCTCGCTTCTCAGTTTCCATAGGTCTTGATTCCACCAGTCTCCTCTTTGAGGGCTTTTTTTTTTCATGGCCTCCATGACGTCATTTTTTCAGCTTCTTGGTGGTCTCCTCGCTTTTCGCTCTTTGATGGGATCTAAATCCGCCAGCTCGTGTCCATTCTTTCGGGATGGCCATACCATGTGAGTGGATTCAATCGTGTCTATAACAGTTCCATCTGCTTCCATTGGTCGCCTTATTCCTTCATTTCTAATATGATCTATTCTGGATATTCTTCTCTAGTAATCCATTATCACAGCCAAGAGTTTTTCCCTGTCTCTTTTTGTTAATTCCCAGGTTTCTGAGCCATACGTAGTTATAGATTCACTAATGGTATATAGTATTGTCACGGCTTTGGGGTGCGTGACAGAAATCTTGGGTTCGTTTATTCCAAAATCAAAGTCAATTATTAACACAACAATAATTTTTTCTACGAGAGTGCGCAAAGTAACTACTTTGCGCACACTTTTTTTTCTGGTACCCATAATAGAATCTGGAGGCCTCCTATTTGGGGGGCAAAGCTCCGCGGGAAACCTCTTTTTGGGGAGCCCAGCCGAACGGGGCCCCTTTCTTAGGGGCGAAGCCCCGCGAGAGCCCTATATTAGGGGGGCCCAGCCCCGTGGGGCCTCCTTTTTTAGGGGGCAAAGCTCCGCGGAGAAGGGGCCGAAAAATTTTTTTGCCCGATTTAGATATACCTAGTAAGGTAAGGCAAGTTATTTTTGATGCCTATAAAAATGCCAAATCCGACTGAATTGGCTTTCAAGTCGTATCTGGTCTTCATTCGGTCACTAGTCAGCTCGATATGATGTGCTTCCAAGCAAAATCATGTATCCCCAGAAGTCGTGTCCTTACTTCGTCGGCCTAATCTCGAATTTATTTTCGTTCTTCTTCAGGTATTCCAAACATAAGATCGCAAGGTTACCTGAGTTCCCTTCCAAATACAATTTTAGCTGGACTTTCACCTGTTGACTAGTGAACAGCTGCTCTGTAAGCCATTAAAAATAGAGGTAAATGTTTGTCCCAATCTCGCTGGTTCTTTGCGACCACTTCTGTCAGGTGTTCCTCTATGGGTCCTTACTCTAGAAACAGGGGAGCAGCGTTCCCAGGAGAACGAGTGTTCCGTCTTTCTCAATGATATGGAAATGATAATATAAGTAACAAAGACGGAACGATAGTTCGCCTGGGAACGCTGCTCGCCTGTTTCAGGGACTATTGTTTTATTAAATCGTTCTAACATGTCATCAGACTGTGGATGTAAAGGTGTTGTCCTTGACTTATGAATGCCCACGGTCTCACAAATTTTCTTAAAGATGGCAGTTTCGAAGTTTCGTCCCTGATCTGAATGTTAGTGGCACACTATGACGACTGAAAACTTCGTCCACTAGCACCTGGACAATAGTGATGGCTTCTTGATTGGGAATAGAGAAAACTTCTGGCCATTTACTGAAGTAATCCATGATAACCAAGATGTATTTGTTACCACCCTCTGACTCCGAGAATGGTCTGGCAACATCTATCGCTATTCGTGGGAGACCGACGTTGTACTGTTTCATGGGTCCCCGAGATCTTAGTTACGGGCCTTTAGTGGTAGCACAGAGATGTCGCATTTTCGGCACCAGTTCTTAACGTCTCCATGATAGTAAACCCAGTAAAAACGTTCCCGAATTTTGTCCAAGGTCTAATTAACTCCAAAATGTGCCCCTGAAGTTCCGTCATGTATTTCTTTTAATACATCTTCTACTCGATCTTTTAAAATAACCAGTCGGCTCTTAGTAGATTTTCCATCGGCACTTTCCCAAACTCCTTTCAGTAAACCATTTTCGACGGCCAGAGAGCTCCACTGAGCCCACAACGCGTTGAAAATCAAACTCTTGCTCGACACTTCCCTCCCTTCTGGCCTACATTCATCATTTTCTTTAAGATGCAGAATTTGCCCGATGTCCTGGTCTGCATCATGATCTGCTCTCATTTGTCTGGTATTCCATTTATCGTCGACGATAAGATCCGTTCTTCTCACAGCCGGACCAGTGTTTTTCTCATGCATGTTTCCAGGTCGATGTTTAGGGCTGGCGTCTCTAGATCTCCAAAAGCGTTGGGAGTGATCCCTAAATGGAGAGGACATCCTCAGTCTACAATCCCATTGCATATGTCCAAGATAATGGCACCGGTAACATTTTACTCGGTTTCTCGGTGTTGGTGTTTGTTTGGAGTCGTTTCCCATTTGTCTAATTTCTAGTACTGGTTTCTCCATTTTCGCCATGAACTTACTCATAAGATTCTCGAAGCGACCATCTTCTTTTGACGATTGTTTATCCTTCAAGTCTTCAATGGATACTGCTGGTATTCTGGTTCGTGAGGCACCAAAGATTGCTTTTAGCTCTAATGCTTGGACAAGGGCTTCGCTACTTTTTCTGAAATTAGACATTCTCAAGTTTTCCTGGATTTTGGAATCTCTGATAAGTACCTACCATCAATAAACGCAGATATTGCCATCCATTCCCGCATGTCTTCTTCTAAATACTTCTTGTCTGTAATGGTATCCGAAGCGCAATTCTAATGTCTGACTTAGATGCTGGTAATTCTGTTGGTAGA